ATTACTTGTCCAAGACCATTCTATACTGGCAACAAATAAAATATTTAGAACAAAAACACCTTCATTACTTTATCACAACTGTTAATTTGTCCTTTACTGTTTAATAAGTTTAATCATTGTTAGCTTCTTCCACCTTTAAAGTAAAAAAGTACTAAAATAACTTATATACTTAATATGCCCTCATAAAAAGGATATAAGTATATTAATATATTAAAAGAGCAAATAAATAAATAAATAAAATCATGGTAAACACAATAAATGAATTCCAAGAGAGAAATAAAGAACTATTAGAAGAAAATGAAAATTTAAAGAAACAATTAGCAGATAAAGAAGAAAATCTTAAGTTAAAAATTTGACATGTTACTGGTCAATCCCTTAATGATAAAGATGAAGTTAGCATGTATGCTCCTAGGGGAACATGATGATATAAGAAATTAAATAGGAAATGATTAGATGAAGGTAAACTAAGAATGGCAGTAGACCCTAATGAAACTAGGGAATGAGCTAAAAATTGTACAAGAGTTTGATTGACAATATCACTATTGAAAAAATGTTGGAAGGATTTATTGAGCATTCAAATGAATTAGCTGGTAATTATACTGGAAGTTGGTCAGAAATCAGTAATTTAAATGCTAATAATTATGAACAAAAGCAAGAGTATGAAGAGAAAATAAAAGAATTGAATAAGTATAAAGAACAAGTTGAAGGATTAGAAACAAAACTTACAGAAACCTTGTCAGTTTGACATAAGGAACAAGAAGAGATTGATGATATTTCTTGAAATGAGCAAATTCATAACTGAGACTTAGGAGAATTAAAAGAATTAAAAAGCAGAATAGGGGAAGATTTAAATAAAGTTATTTTTGAAATTATTAAAAAGTTAGATCAAACTTCTAAAGACCTAGCCAAAGCAATTAATACAGCTGAAGAATGAAAAAACTGACAAAAAGGGCTTTTGAATGATGAAATCAAAGCACAAGCATTAATGCTACAAAAAGCTGATAAAATGCTTGAAGAAAAAATAGCAAAAAATACAAAATTACAAGAGGAGTTGGAAGAGAAATCAAAAATGTTAGCAAAAAGTAAGGAAAGAGAAGAGGCACCAAATCGACAGTTATATTTGGAAAGAAAAGCCTTGCCCACTCTACCTAAAAAACAAAATACTTTCCAAAAATTAGGTTCAAGAATTAAAACCAAGTTCCAAAAACTTCAACAATTGGTAGAAAATAAAAAACACCAAGCCCAAGAATTTACTGCTTAAATAGAAGTAAAAGTTAATTAGTTTACTTTACTACTATGAGAGAATTACTTTTCACTATTTTGGAGTTAGAAGAATGACATAGCAGTAATTCTACTTGCGTTTTTTGCTTTGGTTTAAAAAAAGCAGTGTGTCAAATCAGAACATGAAGCAAAGTGTCTGGTGAAATGATTGAAAGTGATAAGGTTTGCAAGAGTTGTAAAGAAAAGTTTGAAAATGATGAGTTGCCTAAATGCAGTTGTGGAAGATTAAAGACTAGATACACTTGTGATCGTAAAGAAGAAGGAAATGAAAAGGAACTTCCTAAATTGCCTCAGGAAAGAGAGAGTATGTCTGCTTTTTATGAAAGGCAAATAAGTTATTTAAGAGAAGAGTTAGCCACTGCAGAGGAAGCCCTAGAAGTTGAAAGAGAAGAAGTAGCCAAATTTCAAGAAAAATCAGAAGAGTGAAGTAAAAAGAAAAAACAGGAGTTATTAGATAAGATAAAAAGTTTAGAAGAGAAAATTAATCATCTAGAAGAAGAAAACAGGAAATTAAAAGATCA